AAAATACATGACCACCCCTGGGTGTGAGCTGCCCATTGAGCTATGGTCTCAGACTACCTCTCGGGCTTCCTGGTTCTGCTTTAATCTGCATGCCCACTGGCTGCGGGTAATTGTCCTCTCCTGGGAGGAAAGAAAGTCAGTGATGAGCATGTTTCGCCACGCTCCCCGCAGGAGGACAGGGGTCGGCAATCTGTTACCCTACCTTCTGAAGGAGTGGTGGTCCATGACTTCGATAATGGACGTCAAGAGAAATACAATTTCTTCTTAACCTACATCCCGGAAAACTCAGAGCTCAGTTTTATTGATTTTTTAACCCTCCACACTATTTGATGACATCACAAGTATCATGATAATAGAGGTTGATGAAATAATACAAATTATTATTAAAGAAATACAAATGAATCAGTGTGGAAAAGGCTGAAAAGCATTTTTGCATAACTTATGGGTGATTTTTGAGGGTGCCCAATGTGCAATTCCTTGGCTCTTTTTGAGGCAAAGATGCGTGAAATCAACAAACTTCAGAGTTGTGTTTCTAGCATTGCGCTGCTAAGTGAAATAATTTGATTTAGCAGCAAGCGAGTGGTTTCGCAATTTCTCTGTGTATGTAACACAATAGGTTTTACACGCACACAAATAATACCATTGTGCACATTAGGGAGTAGACAGGAGTGTAACATCTGTGGACAGCTCCGTGGGGATGGTGTGGGCTCCCCATATAGTCAGCAGTTAGTCCCAAGTCAGATTGTCTGCCTAGAGTTGATACTGTCAGAGCTACTTACTAACTGTATAATGTGAGACACATTATCTGACTTCTCTGTCCATTGGTTTCCATTACGATGAGTTATGGGTAAAAACACGAATAGGAAAAGTAGTAGCTTCATAGGGCTTGGAGAGCGGGAGGGAGGAAGTAGAAATGGAAAGGCCTGGTACCCGGTGCACACATAATAGTGTTCAGCCACTCTCCTCATCATTTGTAGTCTACACTGGGTTCATGGACTGCATTGCATTTGACCTTTCACAGCCCATTTATCCCTACTTTATAGAAAAAGAGACTCAAGACTTCAAAGGGATTTGCCCAAAGATAAAGGTTGTGGGCAGTGCAGGGCTGAATCTAATGACGTGGTCAGCTCTTTTTAAGTGCATTTTTCCAAAGGGTCAGAGAACACAGATTTATAGAGTTGGCCCTATTTCAGGAGATTTCTCCCTCTGGACACTGATCCACTTTTCTTGAAAATAGTCACCACTTAGAATGCCACTCACGCTGGTTTTGGGGAAGCAGATATTGATTTTATTTTTGGTGAGGGCTTTAGCATGGAAATGGGATGCACAGCATGATTTTCTCTTTGGGCTCCAATTTGGGGAAATTGGATTTCCTAGAGGGCCAGCTGCAGAAGAGTCACAGGTATTTGGGGCTCAGCAATCACGATGGCTAATTGGGACAAAGGAGGACAGAAAAATGCCCTCCATCTCAAGCTTGTTCTATGGCTTTCATTTCTTGAATAAGCACAGACCCCAAAGTCCTTGTTAATGCTAAGCAAGGCACAGTGCTACACATCTGTAATCCTAGCACTTGGGAGGCTGAGGCGCGAGGGTCTCCTTGAGTTTGAGGCCAATCTGGGTCACATAGTGAGTTCAAGGACAGTCTGAACTACATAGCAAGACCCTGTTCCCCTCAAAAAATAAAGGCACACAAATTCGTAAAGTGGAACACTCTGTCCTATGCTGTATCTAATGGGGCAGGACAGAACCATGTACCATTATGTGCCTGTGTCCCAGTGTCCCGCACAGACCTCTGTGAATGCAATGGGCTGCGACCCAGCTCCTGATGTGGCCAGCAAGCATGCCTGAACCTGCAGAGAGGGTGGAATAGGACAGGTGGCACCAAGGCAGGTGCCCACCTCTGGGTCCTCCTGGTCTTGCCAAACCTCCTGTGCCAGAGCTGGCAAGTTCCTTGAGGCCCTGGCCTTGCCTCACTTGCTTTTATATCCACAGAGACTAGAAGAGCCCCAGGCACCAAGGTCTGTTCAACCTGCTTGAGAGAATGAGGAGACAGGAAGGTGCTAAACACACTCCCACCCACGGCACTGGATGGGAGCCAGCTCAGGGAGCAGCAGCTTTCTCACCTGGGCTATTTTCTGTCCTGCCATTTCTGAGGCTAACTCTTGCATATGTTTCTAAAGCTTGGTTCACGGCTGGAATTTAAAGGCAACTTGGAATTAATGGTTTGTGCTGAATCTGGACTTCCCACGGGATCTTCCCTTCCTCCCTATCTGGAGGTAAGCTAGACCTCTTGCCACAGTACACAGGGCTGGGGCAGGACATGCTGGTGTTTCTGTGCTAATGATAGCCTGCAAGGTTGCTCAAACAGCACTCAGCCTTCCCTACACTGACCTCCGACCCTGGGAGGAGTTAACATAGGCCTGGCACGCGTGTGCAGTTGACTATATGGAAATGATCCCACCAGGCTGATGAGTCATTCTCAGCCTCTTGAGGTGGCTGGTGCTGACCATGGTCTTGGAGGGCACCACACAGCACCTATGTGTCCACATCTGTTCTCTCCTGGGAGCCAGGAAGGGTTCACTTGGGCAAAGATCATACAGCACTCTCCTACCACCACTGGCTCCCAACTCAGGAAGTGCTGCTGTCGTATAAGAGCCTTCAAGATGCTGAAGTTCAAGAAACCAAACTGAAACAGCACCTTCATCATCAGGGAAGGTTTTGGCAAACTTCCATTGAATGTTCTCATACATTTAGTCTTGCTTATTGTTCACCATACTAGGCTCAAAAAAACTTCACGATAAAGACCTGAATTTCTTTTCAAACCGAAAAAAAGGAGGTATCTAAATCCATTCAAAGTGCACACTCAAATGACACAAGGAAATCCATTACTAGAAAGAATGAAAACTTCTATTTCCATCTACTAAGAAACTCAAGTCATGTGATCTACAGAGTCAACGTAATCCTGATAAAAATTTCAAGGGAGTCTTCTTGTAGAGATAGAAGAATCTATCCTAAAATTCATATGAAATCTTGAGACCTCCGTAAACTGGAAGCGATACTGCAAAAGAGTAAAGCTAGTGATTTCACACTTTCTGATTTTGAAACTCACCACAGAGTTACACTAAATCAACACATTGTGACAATGGCATAAAGACAAATACACACATCAATGGAATTGGATAGACAGAGACATAATGTAGCCATGGGTTTTTTTGGTTTGTGTTTTGAGGCAGGGTCTTTCTATGTAGTCTAAGCTAGCCTTGAACTCACTGTGTAGCCCAGGCTGGCCTCAAACTCACAGGGATCCTCCTGCCTCAGCCTGGGACTATGGGCTTACATCACAACACCCAACTTTTGACCTTTTTCTTAAATCTGTACTAAAATTAACTCCACATGGACCATTGACTTGAATGTAAGAGATAAAACTATCAAAATCTTTCAGAACAAAAGGCAGAGGAAAAGCTTGACAACACTGTATGTGACAATTTCTTAGATATGAAACCAAAAACATAAGTAACAAAAGAAAAAAAGTTGGGCTCCCTAAAAATTAAAACAAAAACTGCTATGCATCAAAGGACATTATTTACAGAATGGAAACCAACCATGAAATAGGACAGAATATTTGCAAATCATGTATGTGATAGAGGGTCCACAGCCAGAATATATAAAGAGTTTGTACAGTTCAACAACACAACCAACAACAAAAATCTGATGAAGTTAAAGGACTTAAATAGATATTTTTATGAAGATAAACATGCATCAATAATCTTTAGAGAAATGCAAATAAAAATCACAATGGGAAACTATTTCACACCCGTTATGATGGCTATGTTCAAACATACATATGTACCCCACTACACACACACACACACACACACACACACAGAAAACAGCAGGTGTTAGCCTAGATGAGGGGAAATTAGAACCTTTGGGCACTGTTGGTGAGGATGTAAAATGCTGTGGCCACTGGGAAATGGCAGGGTAAATTCTCCTCATGGGTATATAACAGAAGGTTCACAAGCAAAGATTTAAACCTGCTTGTCTCTACCCAAGTTCAGAGCAGCATTATTCACAATAACTAAAATATGGAAGCAACACTCATGTCCCTTGATGTGCAGCTAGATACTATTGGGCTTTAAAGGGAGGGACAAAGTTCCGGGCCATGCTATAACATGGCTAAACCTTGAAGGTGCATGATCAGAAAACAGCCCAGTGGCCAAAGAACAAACACACTGATTCTACTCCTACCAAGTGCCGGTAGCAGTCAGATCCGCACAGTCAGAAAGGAGAAGGTGGTAGCCAGGGGCCAGACGGGGGTCAGGGCAGAGCTGCTGATAAATGGGTAAGAGGTGAGGCTGTGGAAGATGAGAGAATTTCTGGAAATAGATGGTGGTGATGATTACACAACTGTGTGCGAGTGTTTCACGCCACTAGCTGTACACTTAAACATGGTGAAGTGCTAAACTTAATGTTATGCATGTTTCACACGTACTTTTTTTTTTTACATAAAAGAAATTTAGCTACAACTTGAAGCTTTGGGAAGAGCGTGGCTGTCACTGCACATGGTTGCCCTGAGTGTCCAGGTGATGAATGGCAGCTCTCGAGACCCCTGTTCCATGAAGGAGGCCCTTGTCACAGACCTGCTCAATTGCGTTAAGCAGGAAATGCAACTGAGTAGAACTCAGAGTGGACACAGAGGCCCAACTCTTGTGGAACTCTGTGCTTTTGTGCCAAGGGTGCACAGGCATGGTAACACATCATGAAGTTACCTTGGTCATGTCAGGGCTTGGCCAGAGGGGCTCCTGGAGGCCACTTCCAGCAGTGATGGCACATTCTGTTGGGGTTATTCACCAAAATTAGGGGATGTAGTGCCTTCTAGCAAATCAGAACCCCATCACTGACAAACCTGTTTTTATGTTTCCTTAAAACAGCAGGTAAAGGTTTAGGTAAATATACATTTGTCTGCAGGTAAAGCATGAAAAAGACAACAGACTCCTTACCTTCATGTGGCTCCTTCTATATCCATGTGTTCATGGGGCCTCCAGAACCTTTCTTGACTACTTTTGTTGATAATGTGAGAGATACAAACACTGGACTGGATTCAATAACTACATTTTTTCCTTTTCTGCCAGATGTGGTCACTCTAGAGAAGAAGAAGAAAAAGGCAGAATAATGAGGCTGATATTCACCAGAAACCCAAACCCCCACATGAGGGATGTGGTCCTTGGGAAGAGGGCAGGTTTCTAATGCACTTGGAGTGGCAGGAAAATCACCAGGCTGAGTGACGGGACAGCAGGGAGACCAGCAGGGTGAGGGGACCTGCCCTGATAAACGATTCCCCCCAGAACAACCCTTTAGAAAATGACTTCAATTATTCATGTAAAAGTTACACAAAACTGTAAGCATATTCTTACAGAATGTGGTGAGTTATTTTTGTGATTGACTCTAAATAAAAAGCATCAAGACTGTGAAACAGGCTGATTGGAGAGACACAAGAAAGGCATCTGTTCAAGCTAATATCAGGGGGTGTCATATGCATTTTATTTTTGTTCTTTGCAGTTCAAAAGACAGCAAATAAGCTTTGGTCATTTCCACCTAAGAGACTGTATAAAAACACATTATTTCTTAATTTAAAAGGAAGAGAAAAGAACATTTTAAGCAATAATTTAAACTTTCCTTTGTTAGAGGTATAAGGCAGCTTCCAAATGTAGTGTTTGAAGTGGGTTTATGTATAAATTTCTATGGTTAAGACTTTACGGGCACAGTTCTTTTGAATATGCTCCATAATGCTCCTTAAAAATTGACAAAAAACAGTTTGGCTGGTGTTCAGTGTGGTATTTTTATGAAAATACATGTTGACTCTTATCATACAAGTATCACTAAAGATACAGATTTAAACAAATTTTATAAATGAAACAACATAAAGCAAAAGAGATGATTGAGGATGCATTAGTTGGATTGGACACTAATGATCAAAACTGCTCTGTCTGCCATATCACCAACACTGTGTTAAGATATCATAATATTTTGTTGTCACAAATGTCATTAATTTGACTTATGCAATGTCTCATACTTCTGGGAATCCTGTAAGCTTCTTACAGGGTTCCACAAGTCCATCCTATGGCCCGGCATCGTTTGGAAAAAGTCTGTTTCCTACTCTTCACCATCTACAGAAGGTGGTGGGGAGGAGGCCTGGGGGGGTCACAGGCCCCAGTAGCCAGGCAGCCACACCAGTTCCTTGACAGTTGTCCAGAGGAAGACACATTCTTCATTAGAGTGGCAGCACCTACCAGACAGAACTTTTTGAGTGGAATGACAGGTTTATTTGGAGTGAGCTTCCTTCATGCACATAGCCAAGGAGCAGGAAGCCCACAACTGCCCTTTCATTTCCCATGCGAGGCTCCTTTTGCGACCCTCAGGCCACCGCGCCGTGGCTCCTGGGCGGCTCCCACGAAGCCAAGGCCACTTCACAGCCATGAAGCCCCCTCACCCCCTTGGCGTGTGGCAGCGTGAGCAGCCACCATGGCCGATGCTACCCTCTGCTCTGAGCTACCCTGTCACGATAGTCATTTCTGAGAGGTGGACCGAAAAGCCCCGAGTGGTGGCTTTGGGCTTAACGCCCTTCAGGCGCCCTAGCTGCTCCTTACCAAGTGTGTGTCTCAGACAGACACATACATGTCGCTTTCACGGGGTAGAGTCACAGAACCATGGAGCCAGGGCGCCTGTCGATGACGTAATTACGCAAGCCACTCCCAGCTACTCCAGTCGGGTGGGGAACTTGAAGCTTCCGGCTTGCTGCCTGCTGAACAATTCTCTCAGCGCCCATCCTGGAGGCCCATTATGAACGACCACACACAATGGCTCTCAAATGAAATTTCTTCCTCAAAGTCTGGATAATGGTCATTTCCTCTTAGCCTTTTTACCTTCCAGAATTATTGCAGTTACAAAATAAAAAAATATATGAAGACTTAAAAAAAAGTCAAAGCACATTGTTCTATAGGTGAATACTTAAAAGCTATCATTTTTGACTGAAAGCATGGAGAATGTTCTGGAATCAGAGAATGTCTGGAAAGAATTTTCTGGAAAGCTTGAGGGCTGCACGACATGTTAGGTTGGGATTTCCTCTTGGCCGTCCCAGGGTGCATTCTACTAGACTGGAAGTGCAGGTTTCCTCATTCACAGGCACCCACTATCAGGTGATCAAGAGCAGGGACCAAAGTCTTGTGAACCTCTTTTCTATTTCTTCATTTTAACCCAGGATATGGTAAGGAGTGATTTCAAGTAAATGGTAGTTTTAGATCACTGAATTATTAATGGTAGTATTATAAGATTAATTTTAACCTTATTAATATTCATGATGAATGAAAAAGTTTTCTTTCTCCTGTAATACGGATGAGTGTTCAGTTTACTTTAAATTAGTTATGCAATCAATAAACAACTTTATTTGTCTCCAAATTCAAGAATGATCAATTACTGCATGTTTATAGACTCATGTATATTATGAGATAGTTTAAAATTTAATAATGTATGTTGTAATAAAAATAGATGTAAAATGACCTTCTGTTTGAGATTTTTGCATTTGAGTATAAAGCCAGATTTATTTTCTTTCTTTTCTTTCCCCTTCTTTCTTACCTTCCTTCCTTTTACCTTCCTCTTTTTCTCTCTCCTTCCCTTCCTGTGTACCTTTTCAACTTTATTTCCAAATGATAAGGTAGAAAAGAATACTCCAGGCAGATATCTATCAATACAGTTCATCTCCATATGGAATGTAATACAACTGAGGTCATTTTTATTACGATATATGAAAAAAGCTACTTCGTACATATTTTTCACTTTGTATTATCTTTCCTTTTAACATTTAAAAGTATCAGAGAATTAGTAATCAGCAATTCAAGAATTTTGATCACGTGACTGACCTTGGAGAGCTGGAATAGAAAATGGGGGGGGCATAGTCTGCGTTTCATTATCAGGGTTCCTTATGCTCCTCAGTTGGCCAGGAATTTCTGTATTAAACAGCACAAAGCCTTGCTATAAAAATACCAACCCTGCAGACGGGCCATGTGGCCACAGTGGCTGAAGGATGGATGACTGAGGGGTGCTGTATCTCAGCTTGAAGCACAGGCCACCAGGACACCAGAAATTAGAGTCCCAGTTGGAGCCTGTTCATAATAAAAAATATATTTATTTCACCCATTTAAAACATGGAAATTGAAGCAGTGATTTTTAGCACCATTGTTAACAGAACAATGAAGCAGCCAAACCTTGCAGCATCCACAGAGCCCTTGGGTATGCATCTCCTGGAAGGTGACACCATGGGCACCAGTGCTCCTCAGCCACCAGGGTTTTCTGCCTTGGGTGCCCATGTGGCAACGTCCAGCTGCAGAGTCTGATGGTGATGTCCACACTGGTGCACGTTTACACCTATGTGCCAAAGGCCTGCCCGGCACAGGTGTAGCAGACATCACTCTGGGCGTTCTACTGTCATGACTAAAAAGACTAAAAAAAAGTCAAAGTGCATTGTTCAATAGGTGAGTACTTAAAAGCTATCATTTCTGACTTTTCAGTCAGAAAGAGAATGTTCAGTCATGTTTCAGTCATGGAGAATGTTCTGGAAAGCATTTTCTGGAAAGCTTGAGGGCTGAGGGCCTCATGACATGTTGGGTTGAGATTTCCTCTTGGTTTTGTCCAAGAGTGTATTAGGCTGGAAATGAAGGTTTCCTCATTCACAGGGACCCCACTTTCAGGTGATCAAGGGCAGGGACCAAAGAGGGACTTCAGGTTATACTGAGTATCTGACCCACACATGGCTGGTAGTGCATGTGGGCAACACTTCACTACATCCTTATCATGATTTTTCCCCAGCCCCTCTCCCATGAAGCCATCATTTCTCACTGTGAGGGGACACAGGCCCAGAGTCACAAGGGGGCTTTCTGAGGCCAAGATGGGGTTTCCCTTGGTCATCACCAGGGCCCCACCCCTCATCCTTGTCTTCCTCTGGTTTACTTCCTCTTTTTGGTGGAAGACATCAACCTACAGCTTCTTAAGGAAATGATCTCAGGTGAATGTGCGTTTTAATGTTTTCCAAATGTTAAAACATCTAATTTTACTTGATACTCGATGAATACTTGAGTAAAGAAATCTAAATTGGAGATAATTCTCCCTTAGATGTTTGAAGGCACATCACTCATTCCCTTCTCTTCTGTCTCTTGAGAATGTTCAGTTTAGGGAACCCTTCCCCTGGACCTCATATCCAGAGTTATTAGGATTTTCTCTTTGCTTCTCATATTTTGAAATCTCTTCAGGGTGGGAAGGGTTGTGGATCTGCCTTCATCCCCAGGTGGGTGCTCTGGGACCTCTCAGGGTATTTTCTTCTTTGCTTTCTTTTGTTTGCTTTTCATTTATCATCCCTTCCCTTCCCTTCCTTTGTCTTTACCCTCCTCTCCTCTCCTGTCTCCTCCCCTCCCCTCCTCTCCTTTCCTGTCTTCTGTGTGCTTTTTGGAACTTGTATCATTCACACTGTGGTTCTACCAGAAAAATCCTCTAACTTTTCTTATTTCTCCTTATTTTACCTTCTGTTTTCCAATCAAAATTTATTTTACCTTTTCTTCTTTTTTTATTAGCCCAGGACACAGTATCTAATGATCATATTCCTCATGGGGAGATGGTGCATGTACATACTACATCTCAGTTCTTTTTACCTCTCCCTCCCCTCAGTCTCTCCCTTTCTTTCAATGTCTTGGTCCCCTTCCTTTTTGCAAAAGATCTATCTTCACTTCCTATTATCTATCTTTTATTTTGCTCTTTAATTTACTTTACCTTTTTCTATTTTGCCTTCTGATCCTCCAAGGGAGTTTTTAGAATGTAAGTTTCAACACATATCAATTTCTAGATAACCTCTGGTTATTTGAAGCATGTTTCTTTTTCTACTTTAAAAAATTCTGCTTTATGGAAACAAAGTCTTGGTAAATAGGGGAGGGTGGAAGGGGTGAAGTGAGGGCAGGGGAATGGGGTGAAAATGAGAACCGAGATCTGTCATGAAAAGGTACAAGATCCCAATGATGAATGTAACTGCACTGTATATTTAAAAAGTATCAATAAACTCAGTGTAAAAAAAAAAAAAACAACCAAATTTGTGGGTGCCTT